TTGCTGGCAGAAATAGGCCCCCCGCATCATCGAAAAGCTCACCAGTGGGCCAGGCTTCACCCAACGATGAGACATCAGAGAGCTGTTGATATTTTAGGATAGGCTATTTATGAGGAGGGAACGCTGCCGTCTTCTACAAAGCATCAATGATTTGATCCAATTTATCGCGTCTCACATAAGACGTTGTAGTGAGCAGCAAGTCATTGAAGCTACCGCATGCGTGCTACGGACTGGAAAGATCCCGTTAGTAGTTAGATATTACTATGCAACTTGACCTCTCAGCCTGCTTCCTTCAGCGTTTACCTATAATTACAAAACATCGAAAGGGCACTAAGGAAGAACCACCATCATATGTTCGAGATAAAAGAGAGCAGTAAAACAGTCTCTAGCGCAACTACTTGTTATAGTTCCCCTCAAGTGTTTTCCTTTGTCCTCCCCTTCCCTTCATTGGTGGCCTAGTCACTATGCTCACGCGCAGCCAACTCCACGTCTGTGCTGGGCCAGAAGTGGCTCAAATCTCCAACGGGAAGGTTGAGAGTGAATCGCATTTCTCCCGCCATAATGATAAAGCACATATACCAACCCAGCATTGCTACAGAAAAGATGATGGCGCCACCGGCCTGCCCACTGGCGTCAGCCTTTTGATTACTCATGTAAGAAGTTTAGAGAATCCTACCTTTTGAAGCCTCCCTGACGAGGTATAATCACCCCACGACGCTTTGAAGTACGCAGCCGCAAGTATCCAAGTTGCTACTGCTGTAAGGCTGAAGATGGTCGCCAAGACCACATTGATCTTGGTCGTGAAGATGAAGAACGTGAAGAAGGCAAAGCCCCAGACCACAAGGTACAGTCCAATGGCCGCATTGTATTCGGTCGATGCGGTGCCCGTTGGATCGGTTGGGGACGCAAACGGAGCGCCGAGCGCGAGGTTCGGTACCTCGAGGAGGCCGAATGATAGCCAGAACACGGCGAATAACCCCATGACCATCATAGAGAAAAAGTTACCCAGTATCCACTCGAAGACAAGCGCAAGCAGCATTGTCACCGGTCCAACGAAAAAGAAGATACCACTAATCAGTCATTAGTCGACATTGGACATCAAAGGAAGAAGAGAGCGAAGCACACGTACGCGACTGGTGACAGACCCACAGCTCCTCCCCAACCCATGATAATCATGGCGAAAGTAGAGGCCGAGATAACAAAACTACAGCAACGAGCGTCCCGTTAATCATTATTTTTCTTTCGGAAAAGTGGTGTAGGCTCACCCAATAAATCCAAGCGCCGTCGGATTGGCGAATCGCTTGTTGTAGTCGCCGGCACGAGGAACCTTAGGAGTCAAGTAAAGCTGTACTCGCATGTTAGTATTTCGTCATTGTCTAGGCAAAGTAAGAGGGTACATCAATCCTCTACCTTCTCGAAGAGCTCGGGAGACATTGTCACCCCGGTCTGTGTTCGGTGTAATCCCTTCTCTTCATCATGGTTTGCCATGGAATATGGAGCTTCATGGTTCGCCATATCAACTACACGTCCTAAGGGATCAAGCAAACCGGCAATAAGTGACAACTGAACCAGAGACAGCAGCCTGTAAACTCATTACCAGGCCGCCGCCCTGGGAAACGACGCTTCCGTACATATTTGTAGGACCGAACGAACGGAGCATGATGTTGGGCTTCCGAATGGAATGAACCGGCAGGTGAAGACCAAGCTCATCTGCGAATAGCATCTGAATAACCATTTCTTCCAGCCCCTTAGGATGAAGTCAGTGGTTCATTGTGACACTCCGTACTGCCGAGAGCTACGCTTGGCGTACAGCACACAACCGCCCAGTAACCGCTTGTAAGTACAACCCTAGATTGCGGGGGCTGAGGTTTGATGATACGGCACTTTAAACTGCCAGAAGCCTTGCGCTATGGTATGCCGGTACGTGTATTCGCCGGCTCAGTGGCTGTAACCGTTCACACTGCGAAGGCCTGTTGTCTCCAGTATCCAAGGCACATCGCAGGGCTGAGGTAATGAGAAGCGGGTGAAAGCGTATGCCCCCCGCTTAAACATGTCGGTAATGCACATGCGCCTGTCAGCGTGCATCTCGGCAAGCCTGGGGCAAGGGGTTCCGAGAGTGGCGCCTTACCCAGGTCTTAGGTAATAAGGTTGCATGCTTCTTCTAAGCACGGGGTGTAATGGACCGCTGCACACATGCCTGTTTTGGATGTTTCCCGTCAGCAAATCGTCTACTGACTATATGCGTGAGACGACTTTACGATATTTATACGAGTTTCTGCTAGCCTGTGTAAAAATAAGTAACAACGACTAAATCTCTCTGTAGAACATCCAGAACAACTACGTTGGGTATCTGATTTCCTGACTTTTCTGTTGTGAAGCGTGAACTGAAGGTCACAGGCTGTCCTCTTTCTCTCCCGTGTGCAGATTTACTGGTTACCAACCTTTCTTATGTCCTCTGGAAAAGCTTATTTATACAGAATAAAGTTTTAATAAGTTTAAGGATAGGGGTGGCTATGAGCTAGTAGATTCTCACGTAGCTGACTGGCCCCAATGTGCTGCTTCAATGTTTGGGTATCGAAAGCCATTTCGGCAAGAGTTCTTTTCCTTCTACAGGGAATTAGTCGTTTCAAGTAACAAAATCATGTCTCGATAGCCTACCGCTGGAACACGGCCGGAGTTACCAGGATCATAACCCTCAATACTGTCTGTACCCGAACTATTCCACTTTTCCAGATGTATACTCCAAATGAAATAGCATCGACACGGTGGCTGATACAGCGGCAGCTGATGAAAGATCTGTTCCCTATTCTACTAACTAAATTCGTATCGGCGTACCTGTACGTACCAATGAATAGCAGGTACAGCCTGGGTAGAGAAGAGACAGTAATAGCACTGCCCGTGGGATAGATTACCCATAAATGTGAAGAAATTACCTAGGTTATACCGAGCTCTTAGTCTAGCACTGTCTTTCCTATAACAACCTACACGATCTGTCTAGCGATCCCAATACAACTCACGCCCGTGTTATTGACACCGCAACCGACATAACGATCTTGATACCAAATTTCTTATTTGGCAGCGAACAGAGTGATAGTGTAAGAGTTTAGTATTTAGCGCGTTGCGGTGTGAGATTTAGTTGAGGAAGAGTGCGGCGGATGAGGTTGCTCGTACTGAAGTGATGCGTCAATGCCAACCGCGCTCAAGCAATCTTGTACTCCAGGACTAATTTCTTACTAAATACCTGCTCGTAAGTCTGGAGCCCGGCGGAGTAAGAGCTTGTTCAAGGTACATACCAAGTGTGTCCCATAGAGCAAGGAGTTCGTCCAACTAACAGACATTTCCACCCCCACAACTTCCCTGGCACGCATACATCCCGTCCAGGTCCGCATCATCACCGTAGATGTCCTTTCCTTGGAAAAATCCATTTAAGGTCTCATCTGCGATTTGTCAATATACCGCTCCAGGTTGCAGAGTGCTATTTTCCGTAATCGCTCAGGACGAGAACCCAGATTTTGGACGAAGGAACGCAAGAATTCACTTACTACGAAAATGTCAGCCTCAGATGCAGTACAATGTTTAAGAACCAACTTAGGGATAGAACGCAGGGTATACTCATACGTACCGGAGATAATTCAAGTTTTGAGGATCACCGAAAGACCGACCAAGACCACAAGGGTAGTCTACCGTCAATCCCTTGCCACCATTCATCGATGCACCCCAATCGTCGGCGGTGAACCAGCCATTGTACGCACCGAGTGCATGAACGGCGTTGCCTCCAGCAGCGTCGAGTCCCTGCGACAAAACCCACGCGCCACAGTCAGTGTTATCTTGCACTGGGTACTGACAAGACGACTGGCCGTTCTGGCAGTTCGAAGGGTCACACTGCACTAGGGGGGTATCAGCAAGGTCATTGGCGCTGGCTTTGGGCCAAAGGTCTGGGTTGAGGGACTGCCTCGAGCTTGAAATCAAAGCATTAATTCGGGTTGACATACTAAGTCCCGGCGTGGGCCCTCCTGCATCAGCATTACAGCTACTTTCCTGCATGGCTATGAAGGCTAAGATCGCAGGATCGATACCATACTTCGAGCCACTCGCCTGGAAAGCACTATCATATTGTTGGCAAGGTGCTCCAACTCCGGCATAGTACTCGTCTAAGCTGATATGTGTGAGGCTATTGATGTCGAGGAATGGTGGGTTCCATCCGTTGGCGTCCGTGAGGCCAGTGTTGAGCCATTCTTCAGATCCATTGGGCCCGCAAGCATTCGCACCACCTTGAGGCGGATCGCACGCTCCTTGCGCATTGGGGTTCGTGTCCGCAAGAACGAAAACGGCAAGGGGAGCTAAAAGAAGGCTACTACGGATGGACATCGTGGAGAGAGCAATGATCAACTGAAGGAGGTCCGGCGATTACAAAATTCAAAGAAATGCGTCCCTTATAGAAGAGTTGAACATGAAGGTCCAAGTAATACCGAGGAACAGCCATCTTTATGTTTCGAAGCCTTCCCCTGACGGTATTTCCTACCTGCCCGTTCCAGCTATTCATCTACATCCGGAAAGGATGAACTCCGCAATAACGCCGGCCCAACCTGAGCCCCAGTACAGACGGAGAGATGTAAGCTCAGCTCGTGATCAGCTAGCCTATATATTTCATCCCCGAACTGTTTCCAGTTACCGTTTTGCGCAGACGCATAAGACGCGGACATAGCTGGCGTCATCCACAATCCATACGCATGAAAGATGAACTCGGAAAAGACCGGGGGGCAGAGCCCAGCGACTTATTGTTCTCGACAAATGGTATACAAAGTAAGAGGCTAGCCTGCAATGTGTAATGGGAATGCATGGTATCCGATTATAGATAGACGAACGAAGTAACAGACCATTGATTCACGAATCACTAAACATGATATTAAGATGATAAAACAGGGCGGAAAGAAGCAGGTCATGATAATATATATTGAGTAAAACGACAATTCCGGTATCGCTGTTCATCATAGCGAAAAGGCAACGTGGCTGAGTGGTTAAAGCGTATGACTAGAAATCATATCCCTTCGGGGTCGTCCGTTCGAATCGGGCCGTTGTCGCGATAATTTTTCATTTTCAAGGTAATGATTCTACCTTTTTAATTTTCTTCTAATGGCTTTTTCTACGAAGTTCAATGATCCACTACACGTCCTCCCTTTTAAATCACTTCGTTCGCGGTTAGATTCCTACTTTTTTCCGTCTTCTGTTTTGCGTGTTGGTGATCTAGATAGTGCATCCGCGACCAGGTTGACTTTTCCTGGTATATGTCTAGCATCCAGCCTATACTGCACCAAGTATATTGATGCTATTGTCAGCCTCGGATTTATATTTACTATATTAGCTGTCAGTAGGTTCTTTTGATTAACTATTCGCCTGGTGGCTCTATGGCCCGTATCCACCATGATATTTTGTTGGCCAGCCTCTATTTATAGTTTAATTGTCCGTATGTCCACACCGGGCAGAACACTTCGAAATCTGTTCCTTGTCACATCAATTCTGTGCTACCTTGAGTCAGTGAGTCAAGTTGCTAATGATATAGGTGTTTGTCAGTGGGTACCTTACAACTTATAATGAGTTGTCCGCTGGCTTCATCCCTGTCTACGAAGGCTTGTCCTGGTTCTGGTCTTAGAAAAGGCTTCAGTCTCGCGAATTAGAACGCATTGCTAAATTAAATGTTGTATGTATGGAAAGAGGTTACAGCTAGAGGGGGTTCACTTGGACTTGGCGGGGGACTAGGAGGTATGTAAAGCACATACGCAGGATATGTTATATTACTATATGTTGTATTAAAACAACATATTTTAAAACATATTTTTAGCATATGCTTAAGAAATGATAGAAAGAAAAATTCATTATAAAATTATATAACGCATCTCCTACTTAGATAGGCTACCTAAGTGGATAGGCCACTTTCTAGACCTTTGTATGTATATTCATAAATAATTTAACAACAATATATCTAATTAATTCGAACTAATTAAAATTTTATTCGCTAGATTTATTTATATTATTCCGACAAGTTTGCGCATTATAGTTACGTTTGCTGCAAGTTTTATAATACCTGATACGAGTTTTTTTTTGTTTTTTTTTTTTTTTGTACGACGAACAAACCAATAAGCAAACCGACAAACGAGCTAACAAATGAACCGATAATAAAATAAACGCGATTATAAAACGAATAATTGTTTATTATATAAAAAGCAAAAAAATTACGGGCTTTAAAAAACGTAATTATATAAGTTTATAAGTTTGTCAGCTTGTTTATCAGTTTGTTTATTATAGGAAAAAAAATAAAATTCGCGTTAAAACTTGCGTTAAAATTTATATTAAATGCTATAAAACTTATAATAAACGTAGCTATAATACGTAAACTTGTTAAAATAGTATAAATAAATTTAGCGAATAAAAATTTAATTAGTATAAATTAATTGTATATATTGTTATAAGTTTATCAGCTCGTTTATTAATTCGTTCATCGTACGAAAAAAAAAAAAAAAAAAAAAAAAAAAGCTTGCGCTGGGTACTATAAAATTTGCAGTAAAGGTAATTATAAAGCGTAAACTTGTCGGAATAGTATAAATAAGTTTAGCGAATAAAAATTTAATTAGTGCGAATTGATCGAATATGTTATTATTAAATTATTTACAAATATACATACAAAGGTTTAAAAAGTAGCTTATTTACTTAAACGGCCTATCTAAGTAAAAGATGCGTTAAAATGTATATTAAGTATATATTAAGCCTATATTAAGTATATATTTTATATTATAAATCTATAATTTATTTAATTATAATAATAGCTTTTATAATATTGTTTATTACTATTAATTAAAAAAAAATATTATTAATAAAGATAAAAATTAGTACTATTAATTTAGTTTAATGCTTACTAGTATTAATATAAATATTAAAATACTAAAAATACTAATACTAATGTTATAATTTAATTATTAAATAACGTAATTTTAGTTAGTTATTAACTTAGTTAAAACTAATTAAATTTAATCTTAGTTAATTAATTACGACTAATTTTAGTTAATAATTACTTATTAATTTAAAAACTATTTTTAAAAAACTGATTTTAATTATATTAATAAAAAATAGCTGTTTTTTACTATATAAATATAAATATGTTATTTAACATAATATTTATTAATGAATAAAAACTTAAATCTAACGTATTTTTTACTTAAATAGGCTATTTTTTAAAAAACTTTTATACGTATATTTGTAAATAAATTAATAATAATACATACGATTAATTTAATTTTTTTTTATTTTTATTCGTTAAACCCGCTTATATTGTTTTAATAAGTTTGTATATTATAGTTACGTTTTTTATAAATTTTATAAACGCGATTATAACACGAATAATTGTTTATTATATAAAAAGCAAATAATTTACGGGCTTTAAAAAACGTAATTATATAAGTTTATTGGTTTGTTCGTCGGTTTATTTATTATACAAAAAAAGAAAAATTCGCGTTAAAACTTGCGTTAAATGCTATAAAACTTATAATATATATAACTATAATACGTAAATTTATCGAAATAATACAAACAAATTTAATAAATAAAAATATAATTATTTCGAATTAATTATATATATTATCAATTTGTTTATTAAATTATTTATTGATTTATTCGTCATATAAAAAAAATAGAAAAAACCTCGCGTTAAGTACTATAAAACTTATAAAAAAAGTAGCTGTAATACGTGAATTTATTAAAATAATATAAACAAATTTAATAAATAAAATTTAAAAAGTTTGAATTAATTATATACATTATTATTAATTTATTTATAAATATACGTATAAAAGTTTAAAAAATAGTTTATTTAAATAAAAATTTGTTAATATTAATAATTATATTTATAAAAGCTAGATTTTTATTTAAATTTAAATTTAAATTTTAAAAATTTAGCCTTTTATTACATAATTTATATTAAAATACATATTAATTAACGCATTTTTTATTTTAATAAACTATTTTTTTTATTTTTTTTAAATATAATAATAGCTAAGCTTTGCAAAAAAGCTGATTTATAACTTGCTTTTTAAGGTTATAAAAATAACTTTTCATATATTTTTTCGACGCGCTATTAAGTTGTACAATATATTTTATACAATTTTTATTTAACGATTAAGCGGTTTTATATTATTTGCTAAAATATAATTATTAAAGATTAAATTAATGTAATTAGAATTTTTTTTAATTATATAATATATTATCAATTTAATTAATTTTTTAATTTTATTTAAATATAATATTATTAAAAATATAGTTAAATAATTATTTAAGCTATGCAAAAAAAGTTTTATAAGAAAAATGTAAACTTTAAATTTTATATTTTAATAATTAAATGTTAAAATTTAATTTAATTATATATTAAGTTTAATTTGTTTTTATATTAAAAATAGTTAAAAAAATTAAAATAAATAAAATCACATTTAATTTTATTATAATTATATTTAATTATATACAAGGTTGTGATTTTAGTAACTAAATAGTATATTTTAGTTACTTAATTAATAATAATTAAATTAAAGCAACTCAATTTTACAAATAATAATAAAAGCACAGCTAATTTAATGCATTAATAATTTTTTCTTATTTACCATAATATGTTGTTAAATAAAATAATATAAAATAAAAACTAATATTTTAATTAAAATAAATTGCATTTTAATGTTTTTAAAATATTTTATTTTAAAAGTCTATTTTAAATACTCTTATAAAAATAATAAGCATTTTATAATTTAAAGCTAATAATGATACATTTTTTCTATTTAATTTAAGCTAAATATTAATTATTATAAAAAAACAATTTTACTTTTAGTTATTAAATGAGTAAATAATTTATTTTTAGTTATTTAGCAGCCTTGAATAATATTAGTTTATTCAATTAGTTACTAACAATAAATAAATACTAATGAATAATTTCATAGCCTTAATTATATACAAAAATTAAATAATTTATAATTAAATAATTTAAATTAGTCTGCAGTTATTTAAATTATTTTATCATACGGTGATTTTATTTTATTTTATATTATTTTAATACGAAAATAGTAAATTATTTAATAATTAAAAAGTTAAAACTATAAAAAATAATTAAACAATAAATAAATAAAGCTTAAATTAAATTAAATATTTTAATAAATATATAAATGTCGTATAAAAAATATCGCTTATTTATTTTTAATAATTATAAACCTATTATTTAATTAAATTTAAATTATATTATAAAAATGAGAAAATTATTATTTTTTATACATTTTTTGCTTTTTTTATAAGTGTTGGCTTTTAATAGTAAATATATTAAATATTTAATATAAATATATATTATATATATTGAAAAAAAAATTTTAACCGCGTTTTTTTACGCGATTAACGCGTTAATCGCTTTTAATAATGTACAAAAAAAACTTCAAAAACTAAAATTAATACCACATAATTTAATATATATATATATTTAATCAAATTATCGTTTAATTATTTTATAAAATATTATTTCGAATAATTTTACTAAAGCTAATTTATTATTTTACTATATTTTTTAAAAAAAATCATATGATATAAAAATAAATTTTTAATAATTATTATAAAAGCTATAAATTAAATAACGCATAATATAATTAACGTTACATATTATTTTGTGTTATTTAAAAGAAAGTTATAATATTTTGCAAAATAAATTATAAATTTAATTAACGTTATTATATAAAATAAACTTAATTATATTAAAATCTTTTTTAATATATAAAAAGCAAAAAATTAACAGGCATTTAAAAATTTAATTAAGCAAAAAAATTGTTAAAATAGTCGTTATACAACAAAAAAACAAGAAAACTTTAAGCCCGGCATTATAAAACTTATAACAAACCTGGCTATAATACGTAAATTTATTTAAATAATATAAAAACGTTTAATAAATTAAAATTTAATTAGTTTAAATTAATTTTTCATATTATTATTAAATCTTTTACAAATATACATATAAAAATTTTAAAAATAACTTATTTAATTAAATAGCCTATTAAAGTAAAAAATGCGT